TTGATATCTCTGTTTAAAGGAAAGGGATTAGCTCTTGCGGATGTTCAACCATAAATTTTAGTTTATTAAACATAATTTTTAGGTTATTGAAATTTATAGTTTCTTCAAATACCAATCTGTTTTAGTGCAAACAAAGTTGTTTTAAGTAATGTTGTCATAGATAAATGACACCTTTAAAACTTTTGAAAATACAGTTAATACTGATATAGGTTATTATTTAGAGATATTTAAATAATCTTTTTTTTTTTTTGTAAATTGAGCAGATCTTTGCCAACATTTATGCTTTTGCTTTAGAGAAAACCTCTTTCTTTATTGGAAGTTTTATTATTTGAATCAAATTTTAGCAAATGCTGAAAGTACTAGAAAGTCGTTGAAATTATTCACTTATTTTAAAAAAAAAAACTATTTTTATGTTTTTTAGGAGTAATGCACTATTATGAAATTTAGCACAGTTTAAGATTTTAAGATTTTATTTTTCAAATGATTTATGCACGCATATAATTTTTTTTTTGCAAGGTTTTGTTAGTAAAATATACTCGGAAATCTTTTTAGTATATAGACAACAAAAATATTACTTTTAATTGTTATTAATTCTATAAAGTAAAATAGTCAACATTTTTGTGCTGTTTATTACAATTTTTGTTGGTACCATAATGATTTTTTATATTCTATATATGTTTGTAAAAACTTTTGCTGGTACAGTTCTATTATATATTACTCAATATAAGTCAAACTTTGATTTTTTTAATTTTGTTCTTTGTCTTCTCGGTGTAGTTAAGGCGATTTATAAATTGTTTGTATTCTTTTATTTGGAATTAGCATCATTTTGTCTGCGTATTTTTTGTTAGCTTTTATTTGAAATTACCATAATTTTTTCAGCGTCCAAACAAGAGTTTTAGTTTAGTTTTTATTGCATCAAGTGTTTTTAATGTTTAAGAAACTTTTCTCTTTTTTATATGTTTTTCTAAACTTTTATTTCCTCAATTTGTGAATCTAAAGAATATCATGTTTGAGTCTTTAAATTCCGCTCAACAGCGTTTATTTAATTTTTGTTAAAAACTTTAGTAAAAATGCCTTAATTTACTGATAGATTCTAGCTCTAATCAGTTCTAGCACATAATAATTTATATATTTACAAAACGCAATATTTCTATCAATTTTCACAGAAAATATTAGAATTTCTAAGAAAAGAAGAATACGCTTAAAATTAAAAAAATTGCCAATAAACAAAACAGATCATATTATTAAACTACAATGTTCATTTCACCTAAAAAGCGTATTTATTTAAAATTTTATTCAAATTTGAACAAGCAATGTAAGTAGTTTTTTTTTTTTTTAAAAAAAAAGAATCTTTGGCCTGGGTTTTTTTTGTTACAAACAATTTTATTATATGCTACTGCACATTTTATCATTCGTTAATTATCAATATCATAATTAACATTATCAATTTTTTTCGTCTTTTTATGATTCACAGACCTGATAGTTTAATGGAAACATGATGTAGTCAGCAAAATATTATACACACATTATAATTATTAAAAATCGCCTCAACTAGACCGAGTTCAAGAATTTAAAACAAAGTTTATGATTTCTTAATTTAAGTTTTAAAAACCTTTAATTTAGAAAATCAACAACTTGTTACTAATAAATATACTTATAATTATTTACTGTTGGAAATAAAATATTATATATTAAAAAATCCAGTTTTACTTTATCCTTGTATAACAACCTAAATATTCCCATTGTTCCTAAATTTTTTTGAATCCTTGGTTGAGAACCCTAAAGTATCCAGAAAACAAAGTCCGGATTATTTTTAAGTTTCAAGTTTCCTTAACACAGTTTACATGTCATAACAAAATCTATGTTTTTGGTTGTGCCAATGGATTAAGTGAATTTCATGGGAATGTTTAACATTTATGACTAATTACAAAAAAATGTTGCTAAAATACAGTTTGAGAGGACTTATTGGACAGTTTACTTAAAAAAATACTCCCAACTTATAGTAGAAACGAGCCAAAGTTATAAATACAATTTAATTGTAATTTTCCTTATTATTATAAGTATAAAATAAATATGTATATAAATATTAGCTTGTTTATACAAAATAAAAAAACTAATGCATTTTGTAAAAAAAAATTGAAAATAATTTGAAAAATATTTGTACCTATTAGCCCTAAAAAAGTTAAGCTTGGTAAGCTTAACTTAATTAACTTAATTAACTAAAAAAACTTAAAAAAAATGATAATTTTAAAGATTCGTTTTTTCTTTGTTTTTTTTTTTAAAGTTCAATAATTAATTTTTTTTTTTTTTTTTTTTTTTTTAACATCTTCACTTCCAACAGGCTGCAAGCAACCAATATAAGAGTTGGAAGTTACTGGAAGAGAAAAGACTAAATCTGTAGAGCAAGATGACGATTGACTGATGACTTAAAAGATTGCAAATTATATGAATCAGGAAAGCAAGATGAAGGAAGCGAATTCCAAAGAACTGATGTTCGAGGAAAAAAAACTAGAAGAATAAGAGTTTTTGAAGCACTTAGGAACAGTCACAGAAAAAGGATGAGACTTAATTGAATGCTCTTTAGACCAGTGCTAGCTCTTTAGACCAGTGCCCATTATAGTATTTGTAGAAAAGAGAAAGAGAAGCAACATTACGACGATGTGACAAAGGTTGGAGATTGGCTGCCAGAGCAGGTCCAACTATGTTTACAATTCGTTTTTGCACCTTGTCTAAAAGAGAAAGAGCATCATTAGAAGATCCGCCCCAGATGTGGCAACAGTATTCCATACAGGGACGGATTTGAGATTTATAGAGATAGAGAATAGAATCTGGATTAAGAAAGTGTCGAGCTCGATAAAGAAATGCAACCTTAGCAGATGCTAATTTTGCAATGGATTTGATATACGGTTTAAAAGAAAGATCAGAAGTAAGAGTTAATCCTAGAAGATGAATGGTAGATGACTCATCTAGTACATGACCATTCATAAATATAGGAAGATCTAAATTATTACGATAACGATTGGCCGAATAAAATTGAGTTTTATCTGAATTAAAGTTCACCAGCCACTGTGAGCCCCATGCTGTAGCAGAAGTGAGATCCTTTTCAAGCTCAGATACCCCCTCCAAGCAATCAGAGAGTGTAGGCTTCTTATCATGACAAGAGTAAATGGTAGTGTCGTCAGCGAATAATGCCACCTTAGATGTGAGAATATCTGGAAGATCGTTAATGTAAATTAAAAAGAGTATAGGGCCAAGGATTGAACCTTGAGGAACCCCTGAAGTTACAGGATGTGAAGAAGAGTGTTGTCCATCGAGGACAACTTTTATACTACGATTGGAAAGAAAGGACTCAATAATCTTAAAGATGTTACCAGCTACACCATAAGAAGAAAGCTTATGGAGAAGACCAGCATGCCAAACTTTATCAAAAGCTTTAGAAATGTGCGATAGCCTTAACCTCTCCACCTCTATCTAATGCACGGTAAAACCTCTCGGTTATTACTGTTAGCACATCAGCTGTAAAACGAGAAGACCGAAATCCATATTGATGATCAGAAAGTAAGTTATTTGATTCAAGATGAGAGATTTAAAATAAAAAGCGGTTTATTTTATATCATTTTATATCATTTAGAGCGGTTATCAAAAATACATTTTTGATAACCGCTCTAAATGATTCTTATTCTTGTTTCAAAATATTTCTTTATTTAAAGCTGTAAAACTTTAACAGTTCTTTTTGTAACCATTAGTAGTTTAAAATAAACTAAAAATATTGTTGTAAACACTTTTAATAGTTTATTTAAGCTTTAAGTTTAAATCAAATCATTTGAAAAGAGGTATTTAATTGGACCAAAAATATATTTATATATTTATTTTCAAAACCAACTTGAATTAGGAACCACCTGAATTTTACTATTGCAATATACAGGTTAAATTTGGAAATTACGATTTAAAACAAAAACTGATAATGAAGAAGAAGAATAACTGGAACAACCTTGTAAACAATATTACTCGCCGTTTAAATACTCAAATTACCAATCAACATTTTGATTGTTTTATCTTAAATAATCTTTTATGAATTATCTCAGCGGGTACATACATCCACACGTCTGATCAACAAACATTCTTTGCCCATTGGGATAGGGTTATATTTACTTTTTTTTCTTACATTAAAAGACATTACGCTTCATGAGATGTTTGTTAATACTTGTATAAGAGCGACGTCGAGGTTTATATATTTATATATAACAATAAAAAGACTAAACAAATATTGAAAAAGAAAATCTATATAAATTTATGATTTTTGAACAAAAATGTACATAATTTTTTTTGATTGTTGACTATGAATACGTTTTACGTTGTGGTACTTTTTATATTTATTTTAAGATTTGACAACTCCAATACACAAGGTAAATTAAAATCAAAGTATAAAAACTTTATCATTTGTTTTTGCATTTTTGTCTAATTTTTTTTAGTTTATGCTTTGACAGGACCTCGTCAAGGTGTATTAGTGAGATTAACAAACGAAGAAACAAACATGTGTAAAAGTGAATTTTGCAAATTGGTTTTAGAAAAAATGAATTTGAATAAAAGTATCAAAGCTGACATAAAAAAATGTAAAAAGTTGTGTTTGCTACCTTTCGATTGGGTATGTAATTTTAAAACATTATGATTTTATTTCAATTAGTTGTTAATAATATCATTATTTATTTTTAATTTGTAAAAACCATTAATTATTTTTAATTTTGTTAATAACATTAACAAACATAAAAGTCAAGGCTATCAAACGCCGTTCTTCGAATTTCCAAATTATAATTAGTCCTATAATAATAAATTCTTGACTTGAAGTTATAAAAATAAATTTATATAATAATAACAAAAAGGTTTTAAAATTATATCATTTTTTGTTTTGTTTTAACTTTAATTTTTATCAATATGCGTTTTTTTTTTTAAATAAAATTCAAGACAATAGTATTACTTTATCTTATTTTCATTTTATTGTATAAAAATAAATGATATAATATAGAATAATGTTGACTCACCAAACTATTTAAGTTTGGCGAGTCAAAACTGCATTGCGTTTTGACTATAACAGCCTTGAAATGTAAATTTTCTTTTATGAAAATAAAATAGTGGATATGATTTGGTATTAAAATAGTGGATATGGTTTGGTATTAAAATAGTGGATATGGTTTGGTATCAAAATAGTGGATATGGTTTGGTATCAAAATAGTGGATATGGTTTGGTACCAAAATAGTGGATATGGTTTGGTATCAAAATAGTGGATATGGTTTGGTACCAAAAATTCTGAATTTTTTCTATTCTATTTTTAACGTGTTTTTGTTTGCTGAATCAATGACATCTTGTGATAAGAAAGCATCTACCAATGTTTTTGTTAAATTGTAAAACCTGCTTAGTTTTTTAGTAAACTCTTGATGATGTCTTTTATTGTGACCAATCCTGCCCATATAGTTGCTAAATCTTAAACGCTTTTTAAATATAATATATTCACTCAAATTCGGTATTTTATACATTTCTAATTTCATCCAATTTTTCTTTTTTTCTAACGTTGGTAGACTAATATTTTTGTCATTTTATAATAAGAGATGCATTTTGGCGCTCCAATCCTAGTTGATCTTTGTTGTACACTTACCAGTTTAATCATATTTTTACAAAAATGTTGAATCCATTTTAATGCTGCATATGCAAGTTTTGGTCTAATAGTTGATTTAAATAACAACATTAATATCAAGATATTCAAATTCAAATATTAAAAAACTAAGTATTTGTTTAGCTTTTCTTACAACAATAATAAAGCTGATATATACCAAAGTTTATTTACTCATTTTTTTATTGTTATAAACCAATGTCCTAAAATTTTAAAAACTAATGTTTTATAATGAGCAAGTTAAAACACTAGTTCAAAAATGATTTAATTAATGTTATACATTTTATGAAGCATTTAATGCAAGAGAAAATTTAGATTTGAGGTAAATAATTTTTAAAAATTTTCGATTTTGAGTGAAACATTTTATCCAAACCTTATTTAATAGATATAATTTTTTTCACTACAGTTGAACATAAGCGGATATATATATATATATATATATATATATATATATATATATATATATATATATATATATATATATATATATATATATATATATATATATTATTGGTACTATCATCTATTGGAGTTACTCCTAAAAAACATAAATATTTCACGAAAAAATAAGTAAATAGAAAAAAAAAGAAACAAAAAAAGAAACAAAAGCAAACAAAAAAAAAAAAAAAAGGAAAAACTCAACATCTGTATATATCAATAAGAGAGAAAAGAAGAAAAGATTGTTAAACAAATAATAATGATATATATGTAATAATAATAGTAATATAGTAATAATACAAATTAATAACAACAATAATAAAGTACCAATAATATTAAGAATATTATAATACAATATAAATTGTATGTACAAATCAAAGATGATAATTAGATACAATAACAACATAAAATGTAACATTAATAACACAATAATAGATAAATATAAGATAGGTAAATAATAAATAAAATAAAAATCAAACCACTTTTTTTTAAAGAGATTATATATTGAAGACAACTACAGTACAGAGAGAAATTAAAGAAATACGTTCCAACATTATATTTTTAAATTGAATTCTGTTAAGCAGTAATAAATTCGTAACAAGTGGATATTTTTTCTTAGACTTTTTTATTAATGCAGAAATACACTGGTTCCATTGAGAAATACATTGTTGTTTTATGGAAAACTTACCATATTTGATTGTGTTGACATAAGAATAGTATAGCTTACTATTTTCTCTATTCCTGGTGTGATGATTATGAACTTCGTTTGTTTTAATAAAAAAATTTGAAAAAGGACTTGGTGGTTTATTTTGGAAAAAGTCAAACACAAAAACACAATTGTAAAATTTTACAAGATTATGGAGTTTTAGGATTTTTAGTTCAGAAAATTTTTTTTCGATATCAGATCTCATTGGGGAAAACGTCATTATTCTAATAGATGCGCGTTGTAAACTAGCTATGTTATTAAGTAAAAAGTTTCTTTTTTGACCCCAAACAATACAACAACAGCAAAGGTGAGAAGAGAATAAAGAAAAATAAATTATTCGAAGAATTTGGATAGGGACATAGTAACGAATTAGAGAAAGCATACTGTTAGCTCGTGTAATTTTTTTTTTTTTAGATGATACAGTTGATTATACCAAGATAGGTTTTTACCAAGATATATTCCAAGATTTATATATTTTGATGGAAAAAGTTTTTTACCGTTAATTTTAATTTTAATATGATCAATAGTTTTTTGAGGGAAATGACAAATAATGTATTCAGTTTTATTGACATTCAAGGAAATACGGTTACTATTTAACCAGTTACATCAGCAATGAAGATCTTGATTAACTTTTTTACAAAGAGTCGTGAGGGATTTGTTGATATATAAAAGATTGGTATCGTCAGCATAATGATGTATCATAGAATTTTTTAATGAACAAGAAAAATCATTGATATGAATAATTTAAAAAATGGTAATAAAAATATTTTTAAACAAAATAATATAAAATATTACAATTATGAAACCTTTTGTGATACGGTACTATTTGATTTATTAAAAAAAAAATCTTAAATTAAATAATATAAAAATTTTTCATCAAATTTTGGTCATATAAAAAGCATTTAAGGAAAAAATCAACAACAAAAATAAAAAAATAGAATCTTCTATTATATTGGATAAAACATAAACATGAAAGAAAATTTAAGTTACCTAAAAAGCTAAAAGGAAAAGAAAAAAATTCAAATATATATTGAAATATAATATATTATTTATCAACAATTTTGTATGCAATTTTTGGAAGATCCCATATATAATATCGTTGCGCTTTTGTAAAATATTTTCAAATTTCTTGAAAATTATCTTTGTCATTATTTTTCCTCTTTTATAGTTCATAAAATGGTTGCAACACTTTTTTTCAATATTTTCAATGTTACAGTTTTTTTTTAAATCCTGTATAAGCTAAACATAACTTGAAAAACTTTTACGCAGATTATTTTTCTTTGTTTTTTTGCATATGTAATCATCATTTAATGAAATATTAGTGTACAGGGGTGGGACCGCAAAATGTGAACACTTTTCTGATTGTAATAATTAATTTTCTGTTAAATATGAACTATTTTAAATGTTCAATTTTTGTTTTTTTACATATTATAATTTACTTTGTTTACATATTCATTAGTACTATGTCTTTCGTTTTTTATCAAATAAACTCAACTACATCTAACGAGAAAATAGTTATAATAAAACAAAAACGTTCACATTTTGCGGTCCCACCCCTGTATAATGCAAGAATCCGTTAAATATAATAATTTAAAACAGTTTTAACAACTTAACAAAGTGCAACATCCCCTATTATAAACGTACTTAATAATACTGAACCAGCTAGACCACCTTTGCATTAAAGCTGATTATAAATAAGATTTGGTTTCATAAAAACAAAACTAACGATAAGTAGAAACCTAGTTGAATAAAGTTGTCGTTATTGGCGTAATAAAAATTTTTATTCTTGCCTGTTTCAGATTTAACGACTCTCTCTGTATAATCTTATATATTTTTAACATAGAATGGAAATCACTACTAATAGCTGTTGAACTTCTGTTTCTGTTTTGATCAGAATTGTTACTTTTTTTTTCTATAAATGTTTTTTTTATGACAAATTCAACATGCTCTATTTCTTAATGACATTGTCGCTATTGATAATGTTCAATAATCTCAATTTCAATATTTTTATGCTGCTGTCGTAGTTTAGCGTAGTTTGTATTGTTCCTTGCATTAGCAGAATGGATGAAAAAATGTTATTATTTTAAACAAATTGAACAGAATCAATTTTATCCAGGAAATAGACTCTTATGGGTTTAAGATATAACTATAGTAAATATCATGGAGAAATCTTAATTTTCGCTTTACATCAATTATCTTCCTTGTTTCTCACTATATTGAAATAAAGGCATTATTATCAAATTTAAAAATAAGAACTATTGACTGATTTTAAAGACCCTTCTAAAAAAAACAATTTATAAATAAGTAAAGTAAGTCAAAAGTTGAGATTTCCTTCTTTCTTGTCTTCTGCAAATAAAAACAAAGATGTTTGGGTGTGCTATTTCGTTTATATAATACTAAATTAATCTTTAAATTAGTTTAGTAATTATATTTAAGCAAAAAATTGTACTTAAATAGTATTTAAAGTTTAAAAAGTTTTTTATTCTGTCAAGTAATTATTTTATATATTGAGATGCCTTAAAATGCCTTTTCAATTAATAATATTAAATCAAATAATTTTAACCTTTTTTTTTATAACTAAATAATTTAAAACAATGGCCGAAAGTAACCAATGATTTAACTATGAAATAGACACTAACCTTTTTTAAGGTATATACAAGATTTTTAACATGAAGCAAAACAAAAATTTTGAACAATTACACGAAATATAAAAAATTAAACTATAAGTAGGTTGGTCATCTAGTCTGTAAAAATAATATATAAGTTAAAGACTGTTCCCCAACTCTTATAATCCATTTATAGTTGACACAATTAATATATGTTATTTATATGAAAACATTTACTTATTGTATTTTCTTTCCATGATTATCTATTTTGTTGATTTAGTGCAACCAAATGGCAACAAAAAGTAAAGAAATCATTTGCTGAATATTGTGAAACATTCTTTTTTTACTTTTTAAGAATTACAACAATGTTTTAGAATACATTAGTTTAAATAAAAATTCTTTCTTAATAAATATTTTCTGTGTTGTTTTCTAGTAAATCTTAAAATGGGTTTAACTGATAAAACAGTTAACAAATGATTTAAAAGCTTTATTACTCCATTTGTCAATTAGATATTATTGAAGTATTTTAAAGCAGTTATATTTTTTTGTAAACGTAAAGTAAACCAAAATATCGAGCTAAAAAAAAATGCGCAAATTTTTGTTGCAGTTCAGGATGAGTATTATCTTATATTAGTTAAATATAAAACATATATTAGTAAGTTATCACTTCATAAGATAAACAACAAATTATATACATTATATAAAAAACATTATTTTTATTAGATAATTGTCTTTTTTGATATTAATTGTTGCTGATGCTGCAATTCATTAATTCATTTGTTTGCTATAAAAAGATTCATCTAGTTTGCAGTGTATATGATGTCAAGCAGGTTTCTACTGCTGCTGAGTACGTATGGTTAGCTAAGTTTAAATATTTAAGTAAAAAGTTTTGATCAGCTCTGGTTGTTTAGTATCAGGTATGTTAAAAAATAAAAAACACAAGCATATATTAGAAAAATTAAACTAAAAATTTGATTTTAAAAAACTTCCATTTAAAGTTCTCTCCTAATGTGTTGGCTTTTGAAAACCCTGATAGCGTTCTTTTATGTCAAGTCTTTCCTTCAGGCATTTGTTTTTCAAAGTTACGTTCTAAATGTCTTTTAAAGGTTTTTTAAATGTCTTTTAAACGTTCTTTACGTAAGATAGAAGACGTTTAAAAGACATTTAAAATATATTTAGAATGTAACTTTTAAAAACAATGCCCTCTGGGTTTGTAAATACGATTATTCTGCTTACCGCAGATTTTAAAAACACATGTCCAGATAACTATGGGAAAAGTAGAGTTTTATGTTTTTGTTGCCCTCTATGTTTTTAACTTTTAAATATAAACTTAGGCAACATTACTTGTAAAAATTAAACAGAATTTCTTTAAGTTTAGTTCTAATTAAATTAAATTTAAGTTAAATAACTTTGCAAAGAATTTCCAAACTACTCTTATTTGTAAGTTTTCTATGATGGATACCGGGTAACAAGTATCTCTTTGATAACATTTTGTTTTAATTAGTTTTAAATCTTTTCTTGAAGGCAGCTAGTGTTTTCTCGCCCAATCTGCATTTTTTACTTTACCAAAGGAAAATAAAATAGAAAAACTTTTATTAACCAGTGTGTTGATTGAGCAGAATGTTCCCAATTTTAAAAACCAAACCAAATTGCCACTTGTGGTCATTGTAGCTAACTTTAAGAGTAACAATAAGCTACACAAACTTTTTTTTACGGTAAGCAAATGGTAACTTAGCATATTTGTTTCCGTTTTGTAAAAGAATACGTTTTAGGCTTCAATTTTAACTTTTAATAAATAATCCTTTAAGAAAATTTTTAAAATCAGAAAAAAAAGCAAATTTGTTTTCTGTAGAAAAGTAACTCTATGGTTATTTTTCTCTTTCTCTATATAAAAGTAACTTTACTTCCGTGATAAAGCAATTTTTTTTTTTTAGTCTTTACGCAAGCAATTTTAAAGCTTTTTTATAGAGATAAATATCTCTTGCATTATTTATTTCGTTTTGATTAAAACATATTAATTTCTTGGATATATCTTCAAAATCAGAATTATTTTCTGATTGATGATTCTGTATAGATTTATACTTAAGGATCAAGGATATCTTAAGACACTTAAAACTGATATGAATGCTAGAAGTGACGCTTAACTCAGTCGTCAAGTAGAAAGTTGGAATTAACGCTTTACTTAGTAGTCAAGTAGACTGTTAAAATTTACGCTGAATTAAGTAGTCAAGTAATACTATATAGCTCATTTTTTAGTGTTATTGCTTTTTTTGTTGACACTGTAAAAAAACACAGCCATTGAAACAATTTGTTGATCTAGCCAGATGGTTGTTGTTTTGAAGAATTTTTTTTTTTCTTTCTGACTATTCAAAAATATAAAAGTACAACATACAACTTACAAACAAATCATGAGCCTAAGACTTGTCATTTTTATCCTAAAACGTACTGAAGTATAAAAAAAGGTATTTTTTACAAACTCTGATATAAATTTCTAATAATTTTAAAACACATACTTTGCAAATATATTGCAAAAATGATTTAAATTGTTCTAAAAACTTCTCATTAAAGTACTCGTGTTGAAAAATTATTAATATTTGTCTTATGAAAGTAATTTGCACACGTTATTAACGAACAAACACGTATAAATGATGAAACTCAATTACAAAGTACTTTTGTCTGCAATAAAACATCTGGGGATAACTTTAAAAAGAATATGACATAAGCTAACAATAATAACCACAAAGTTCACCCCAACGAACAAATTAAACAGTGTAACTTGTGTTTTAAATGAAAGGTTTACAATTGACATGCAAGTTAATGCAAACTGCACATTGTTAATCATTAAATGGTTGTTACTAATTGATCTTTTTTTGATCATTACTGTTGTTGTAAACTAAAAAAGATAGAGTTTAAAGAAGATCCATTAATTAGATAAAAGCTTCAAAGCTCCATTAAAGATTACTAGGATAAAATATAAAAATAAAATGTTTGTTGTTATCTTGAAACTATACTTTGCTTTCGTGGAAAGGTTTTGAATTTCACATTAAACTAAGTAAATATGTGAGTATTTCAATTGTCATTACA